GCTCCGCGTTCTCGGGTTGCGCTACCACTTCGTTACTCGAGTCGCGTCGCGCGGTGCCGGAGCGCAGTCCTGAGGGAGCGCGTACAGCGCGAGCGGCAGCAAGTCGCTCGCCTTCGAGCGCAGCGGGCTGCGTATGACCGCGTGGAGGAGGTCGCGACGCGGCGCGGAGGAGGGCGGCAAGTAGGCGTCGGCGAAGTAGCCGATGCGGCGGTGAGCAAGTCGTACAGCCGCGCCTCGACGTCCATGGAAGGAGAAGAATGAGGAGGAGGAGGAGGCGCATGCGGTGAGGACAACGGTCGCGGGACTCTATCATCGTGTGCAGGTCGCACAGCCGCCGCCTCGACGTCCAGCGAGGAAGCGTCTAGGAAGTGTCTAGGAAGTGTCTAGGAAGTGTCTGGGAAGTGTCGCGCCTCGACGTCCTGCGAGGAAGCGTCTAGGAAGTGTCTAGGAAGTGTCTAGGAAGTGTCTAGGAGGTGTCTGGGAAGTGTCGCGCCTCGACCTCCTGCCCCTCGGCGACCGACGCGATGCGGAGCGAGTCGAGGGTGCGGAGGAGCCGCACCTGCGCCGAGGAGGTGTGAGCATGGGGAACAGGACAGCTGCGAGGGGGCGGGGGGGCGGAGCCGCACGTCGCGGAGGGAGAGGAGAAGTGTCTAGGAAGTGTCTAGGAAGTGTCTAGGAAGTGTCTAGGACGTGTCTGGAGGACGTGTCTGGAGGACGTGTCTGGAGGACGTGTCTGGAGGACGTGTCTGGAGGACGTGTCTGGAGGACGTGTCTCGATGTGTCTAGAAAAGGAGCCTCGCGGAGGGTGACTAGACTAGGAGGTGTCTAGGAAGTGTCTAGGAAGTGTCTAGGAAGTGTCTAGGAAGTGTCCTCGCGGAGGGTGACGGCGCGCAGCGGCGCGAGCAGGCAGCGAGGCGGCCGTGTGAGCCAGTCGGCTGCGGCGAGTGCTCCCGTCGAGAGCGGCACCGCGGCGAGGAGGGCGGTGGAGAGGTTGGAGAGAGTGACGGAGAGCTCCAGCTCCTGCGTGAGCGGGGCGTCGGTCGTGTGGTAGAGGAGCGGCCTAGTCCCATACCTCCAGAGTCTCGAATCCGGTGTGGGCCCAGTCCCGTCCGTCGCGTGCGTAGAGAAGGCGCCGGTCGGCGCCGCCGGTGCCTCCCCCTCGCCATGGAGAGAGGGGCAGCCTCAGCTCGAGCTGCAGCCGGAGGGCGAGGGAGAGCCGCCCCATGTCGACCCCGGCGGCGAGGGAGAAGCCCCCCGACGGGTCGAGGAGGCGGACACGCGAGACCTGCAGCGAGGCTGCGAGAAGGGGTCGGAGACGCAGTCTCCTCGGGGGGAACGCCACAGACAGAGTACACGCTCGAGACCGTGTCGAGGCCGCCCACCGTCAGCGAGGCGGGGGTGACGCGCAGGGAGGACTCGCCGAGCGAGAGCGCCGGCAGCCTGACGCACGCACGTGGCATCCGACTGTGAGGCTGTGCCACCGCAGAGCACGCTGCTGCAGGCGTGCTCCGCGCAAGCCTGCGCACGATCGGCAGCTGGTCGAGTTTGGTGAAGCGCAGCCAGCCGCCCGTGCTGCGCATCAGCCGCCGCAGCAAGGAGCCCGTCGCAAAGACGCCGCCCTCTGCGTTCAGGGCGCGCAGGGCGCCGACCGCCCCAAAGCGCACCGTCTGGTCGGCCGGGAAGGGCGAGGCGGGCTCGCGCAGCGGCCCGCGCGGCGGAAGCAGCAAGCCGACGGGGACGGCGTGCGTGAGTGCGGTGGAGAGCCACGTGCCGCGGGCGAGGAACGGCACGGCGCCGCAGCTCGGGCGGGCGGCGCACTCGGCACCACTCAGCCGCATGCGCTCGCCCGCCCACTCGGCAACTCGGCCGCTGCTCTGCGCGAGGAAGGCTGCGGCGGACCGCGAGACGGCGGGCACGAGCACGTCGTGCAGAAAGTAGAGCACCACCTGCGGGGAGCGTGCCTCGGACATGTCGGGGGACGCGCCTCGAGACATGCCGGGGGAGACGTGCAGCACAACTCGACGAGGGGCTGCAGGTGTCTAGGAGGTGTCTAGGAGGTGTCTAGGAAGTGTCTAGGAAGTGTCTAGGAAGTGTCTAGGAAGTGTCTGGGCACCTCGACAAAGGGCTGCAGGTTGGCCTGAAGCGTGCCGAAAGACGAGTCGCGGTACGCGCTGATCGACCAGCCTCGGGGAGGAACCTGCGAAGCAGGGACGACACGTGCTGATCGCTTCATACTGGTGGTGGTGGTGGTGGTGGTGGTGGTGGTGGTACAACACATGCATCTCGAGCGCTATTTCGGCTAGATCTCGGCTAGATCTCGCGGCGCCTGGATCTCGAGCGCTATCTCGGCTAGATCTCGGCTAGATCTCGCGACGCCTGGATCTCGAGCTCCGGCGCACGCAGCGACGGCGGGAAGCTCGCCCGGCGCAGCGCCTCGAGCAGCAGTGACACCGACAGGCCCTCGGCGCGCACGTCGAGGCCGAGGTCGGGGCGGACCGTGGCGGCGGTGCCGCGCAGCAGGTCGAAGTCGCGGCGCGAGATCTCGAGGGTTGGGGCCCAGGCAGGGAGCGCGACGCTCGTCGCGCAGCTGTCGAAGGGGCAGTGGTTGGTCCCCGCCTCGAGCCGGCTGATGTGCGCCTGCCAGCCGAGGCCGGCTTAGGGCTCGGGATCGGGTTAGGGCTAGGGTTTGGGTTGGGTCGAGGTCACGCTGGCGTGCGCCTGCCAGCCGAGGCCGGCTTAGGGCTCGGGCTCGGGTTAGGGCTAGGGTTTGGGTTGGGTCGGGGTCACGCTGACATGCGCCTGCCAGCCGAGGCCGGCGAGTGCAGCCCGCAGTCCGTCGTCGCTCGCGTTGGAGGTGATGTGGGATGCCGTCACGCCCATCACCTCAAAGCCCTTGAGCAGTACTGTCAGCTGTGGCCGCTCTTCGTCGCCCGGCACAAACACATCTGGATTGAGCCACACATCTCGGTTGCTGTCGTCGGGAACCAGGATAAAGCCAGCGAGCGGGAGCTGGCCGACGAGGCCGCACGTCCAGCGAACGATGCCCTTCGGCGCGAGCATGCACGCGGGAGGAAGCGAGCGATGCTCCTTGCGCTGAGAGGAGCGAGAGGCGTGGCCGAGCTTGCTCAGCGTCGCCCACAGGTCCTGCTCCCAGCCGTCCGGCTGGAGAGATGGGAGCTGCGGCAGCTGTGCCGACGCGGCCGCAGCGAGGAGCAGCGTGCTGGACAGCCTCATTTTGCGACCGGCACACGAGTCAGGCTCGCACACTCAACGACCCCAGCCAGCTCCTTCAGGCACTCCCTCCTCGTCCACTTTCGTCTCGAGGTCTCGGATCTAGGGGGGGGGCAGAGTACATAACGTCCACCCATACCGCGTTGGTGTCCAGTCCGAGCCTGGCTGTTCTTCACCTTTCTACCTACCTACCGGGTGGTGTAATTCTTTTTATTAGTTATTATTCATCGGATAATAATTATTAATTATTAATCATCGAACACACACACACCTGTAATGACCGGGCCTCTGGCCTTTGACGCAGCGCAGTCAGTGGTCGCGCCGTCCTCGACTCGAAGGACGAAGGGGCTACCTTCCATTTGTCCATTTGTGTCAGCTCGCGCGCCCCCCCCTTTCTCTTTCTGTCTCGCGTCCACCCACCCATACCGCGCGCCTTCGCTGGTGTCCATTCCGAGCCAGGCTGTTCCACCTCTCTCTCTCAAACGCATGTTTTTCTTTCGCCTACCCTTGCTTGGATTGATTGGGCGTCTGTCTGCCCTCTCTCCCTACCTATCTCTCGTCGCAGTCTCTCGCCAATTCTTGCAGCGACCCTTGTCTCGCTGTTGCTCGCTGCTCTTTTTTTATCTGTTTGCGATCTCCCTCTGGAGATCCTGGAGATCGCCAAAAATTCGCGGTCAATTACAACTCATGCATCGATGCATCGATAAGACGTTGGGCGAAAGGAGAACAATGCTGCCATTCTGCTCGGGCCTCCTGGCCTCGGAGGATCCAGGAGCTTGCGACCTCAGCGCGAGGGTCTTCCGCGACCCAGGAGGGATGCGTCCAGGATGCACGTCCTGCAGTTTGAGGTGTGCTTTCGTTCCCTCTCCTCGGTGACCAAACGACGAGCTGGAGAGCTGGCGACCGAACGCGACCCGAGGGTGGCTGGCGGCGATGGACGACCGAGCGGAGACGCAACGAATCGAGGAGCGGCTCCCGCAGGGAACCGACGAGTGGCTCGCGAGACCTCGGCTGTCGACGACTTCGCGAGGAACGATCACGCCGGTGGCAATACTGCAGCCGCTGTCCGCGTCGCAGGTAAAAGAAAGAAAGAAAGAAAGAAAACAGACACGCCAAACGAGGGATGGGACGAGGACAGGGTCCACACCTGCACGAGCAGGATTTTGGAAGAACGATCAGGGGACAGGTGGGGCTCTCCTGCTCCTGACAAGGGACACGACAGGCTCGCAGCGCGGTGCGCGGTGGACTCCCACATCCACTGGCGGTCTCATCTCAGTCTAGCGACCTGCCTCCAGCTTGTCGCTGGCAGTCTCTCCTACCACAGGCACACTGACACAGGGGTGGCAGGGGCGGCGGCACGAGTCTCCCACATACTATGCGGGCCTCACTAGAGGTGCGGCCTGTGCGTGTCCTCGCCCTTGAGGGGGGAGGGGAAGGGGCTGTGTGTCTGTGCATGTGTGTGTGTGTGTGTGTGTGTGTGTGTGTGTGTGTGTGTGTGTGTGTGTGTGTGTGTGTGTGTGTGTGTGTGTGTGTGTGTGTGCGTGTGCGTGTGCGAGCCGCCCTGAACGCCACGAGCGCGCCGCGAGCGCCGTAGCGCCGGCGAGCGCCCCTCCCTACCGTCTCCATATCGAGAACCCACCGTGTGGCTACGAGGCTCAGCTACCCTCGTGCGGCGCCGAGCCGTCCAATCAGCGCCGAGCAGCGCCGAGCAGCGCCGAGCAGCGCCGAGCATCCCCCGCAAATGCGCTCCAAGCCGGCGAAGCCAGCTGGCACGGCACCATCAACCTTCAACCGCAAGGCACGCCGCGACTGGACCGCCAAGAAGCGGGCGCTCTCGCAGAACGACAACCCTGAGAACGAGCCAGAGGCACTCGCCTGCCCGCGTCGCCGCCATCAGACCGCTCCCCGCGGCTCAGTGTGGACAGTGCCCTGGTAGGTGGCGGACAACTCTCTCTTCGGCCACAAGAAGAAGCGCAAGGAGAGCGACGCGGCCGGCGACGGAGAGACGGGCAAGAGCAAACCCAAGAAGGCGCGCCCGGCGCCGCGGACCACCGACCCGGCCGCGGAGCTGGCACGCGCGAACCGGCAGGCGGCGAAGCAGCGGCCCGGTAAGGACGGCGGCGCGAAGGCGGCGGACGGCGGCGGCGGCCGCGGCGGAGGAGGCGGCGGCGGCGGCGGCGGTGGCGGCGGCGGCGGCGGCGCTGGCCAGCGCTCTCACGGCGAGGCGGTGCGTGTCTCACTGGAGGCGTGGGAGAAGCTGCGGCAGGAGAAGACGCCGGTGGAGGAGCGGCACGCGCTCATCGACGGCGTGCTGGCCGCGCTGGAAGGCTCTCGCTCTCTGCTCCTGCTGTCTGCTCCCTGCTCCCTGCTGTCTCCTCGTTGCTATCTCCCCCTCCTCGTTGCTATCTCCCCCTCCTCGTTGCTATCTCCTCCCTCCTCCCTCCTCCCTCCTCCCTCCTCCCTCCTCCCCACTCCCTCCTCCCTCCTCCCCACTCCCTCCTCCCCACTCCCTCCTCCCTCCTCCCTCCTCCCTCCTCCCTCCTCCCTCCTCCCTCCTCCCCACTCCCTCCTCCCCACTCCCTCCTCCCCAAAGGCGTGCTCGTGCCGGTGCTGCAAAAGCACGACGCGGCGAGGGTGCTGCAGGCGTGCTGCCGGCTGCACCGGCACCTCTGATGAAGGGGCGCACTGATCCCACGCTCCTTCAACTGGCGCCGCAGG